TGCGTGGCGATTTCGTGTATGAGTGATGTCTTGCCTACCCCAGCCATTCCATAGAGCATAATTGGATCCGCATCTCGTAATAAGGTTGCTAAACGTTCGAGATTTCTGGTGGTAGTGTTGGTCATGACGAGTGAAGAAGGATCACCAACAGGGCCATGCGGTCGAGGGAGCAAGACGTTTCCATATGAGACAACGTACGGTGTAAGCGTCTGCAAACATTCTTTTTCCTCACCAGTATCTTCTTCACACTTGAGTTGAGTTTGTAAAGCAAGCACCCGTTGCGCTCGGCTCTGCTCATACAACGAGAGAAACCCAAAATCCACCAAGGCGCCATCCAGGCTTCCGGTCACGGCCTCTTCCTTTCCAACATGCTCATGAATCAGAGCCTCGAGCTTGAAATCTGACGCGTGTAGCAATAAGCAGAATACCCGAATGGCAAGGTATCTGACTGGTAGGCTCTCATGCTGGAACAGAGCTTGCATGCATGAAGCTGATGCAAGAGGGCTATACGTCCTGAAATCAAAATTCAAAAGTCTCCATGCCGTAATCAGACTTTCCAAAAGGCTTTGCCCATCTAACCTTGACAATGAAGACTGGTCAAATTTGGGCAGTAACAGTTGCAGGGATGAAGGCTGCGCCGTCATGGAAGAAACGTCGTCGGTGCATCGAAGAAAAGAAGCCAGATATGGCGCAAATGGTAATAACCTCGCAAACGATGCTGCAGTCCTTATATGAAGTGACTCATTTGTGGCGTTGAGAATCCAACGTGCACATATATCGGGAAAGACATTTTCAAAATGCACAAAGACTTGCTCTGTAAGTGGCGGGCACAGCGCCGCCTGTGTCACTGCGTCCAAGAGTTTTGTCGTTGATTGCTGCCGGATAATGTCAAGTAATTCCGGGGGCAGATGATGCAATACGGTCGCATCAGTTAGAAGCGACCGCCTCTGCCGTGAGACGTCAATCATTGCCATGATTGCGTCGTTGTTGAACAACTTTCACTCTTTGAGTGCGCTTGAGCTATCTCCGTCTCGTACATTTGCCAGGCCCAGATACTTTTTTTTTTCTTTGAAAGTGACAGGGATACCAGCCCGGGTGTGATGACACAGGTTTTTCCGGACCAATCAGCGCGCGGGTGGAACCACTCGCGCCAGCAAACTACAGCAGCTCGAAAAACTTCAGGAAGCACTCCTTGATCGAGAAGCTGCACGCGACCGAAGTATCTCGACTACAAATTCGAGTCATTCAGCCTCCATCACACAGCACCAACCATGGCAATGTCCTGCCGGTATGCGACGCAGAGCTGCGCTCGCCAATTGCGCTCTGTCTCCTCTGCTAGAGCCCCTGCACAGATGCTTCGGATCGCCTCGACGACAAGAAGGTTCAACTCAACTGAGGCCACCCCGACGAACCCCAAGATTGCCGAGATTGTCGATCAGATCAGCCGGTTGACGCTTCTGGAGACTGCCGACTTGGTATCAAGCCTCAAGGTGGGTTTCGGCGTTTTATGGAGGATACCAGTTGCAAATTCCGACTTGACATTGCTAATCTTCAATGTCTAGAGCAAACTGAACATCCCCGATATGCCAATGGGTGGCTTCGCCGCTGCCGCTCCCGCTGCCGCCCCCGCCGCAGAGGAAGTCGAAGAAGCCGCCCCTGCTGCTGCCGAGAAGTCCCTCTTTACCCTGAAGCTGCAAGCTTTCGATGCCGGCGCGAAGGCCAAGATTATCAAGGAGATCAAGAGTCTGCTAGGACTCAGCTTGGTAGACAGCAAGAAGTTTGTGGAGAGTGCACCTAAGATGATGAAGGAGAACATTCCTAAGGATGAGGCCGAGAAGATTATTGCCAGCATGAAGGAGCTTGGTGCGACTGTTGTCATGGAGTAAAGAATGCCATTGAATTGCAATAATGGGCTGGCAAGTCCATCATAGAAGGCCGTATGGCATGTACAAAATCGTCATCTGTACTAGTATTTAAAGGGGAACGGATCCCTTTTTCAAAATAAACAAAAATCTTACTTCTCAACTTCATGTCTTTAATGTTTTCTTGTGATGACATCTGTTGAGGCATTGACATATAGGGTATGTCTTTGATACATGACAACAACATGTTTTGTTTTATTCGGTTATTGATTCATTTTATGGATACAGACACAAGAAAATCAGCAGTGAGCTATCACGGGTATCAAGGACTACATATTCACATACACATACCGGCGCAACCATCCGACCCTAGAAGATTTTCCAAAACTCCACGCAATGCAACAAAATTAAACCCAATACACCGCGGCTAGTGGTGGTCTCCATTTGCAGAGCGTCTATGTGGACAATGCTGCATCTCCATTTCTTTGACACAATCTTCGGCTTCCTCAGAGAGCAACCGGTCGTCATCTTCGCCGAAATCACTAGTCTCCTCCCACAATTTGTTCATCTCTGCGTCCTCAGTCTTGGGTATCGCCCAAATACTCTCCCGTTGCCGCTTATGACGCTCCCTGTCTTCCTCTATGCGCTGTTCGACTTGGCGTTTATCCAAGCGATGTGGTGCTGATTTTTGTGCCGACTTGGGTACGGTCTGGCCATCTGACTTGTCTGTCATTTCAACATCGCTAGGTGGCGACGCCGGACTCAAGTCAGCCTCGTTGATCTCGCGTTCTTTTAGAACGTCTTCGATCTGGCTAACGGCTTGAGACTCCAAATGCCCCTTGGTCTGGAGACCTTGCAAGACCTAGAACTCGAGGTCAGCAATCGCCCCTTGCGGATACTCGCGAACGAAGCTTTGTATGGTGGCAGGCTCACCTTTCGAACCACCTTGACATTTGTGGCGCCAGATCCGTCATCAGGAGCAACAGCATCGACCACCCGAATGATGTCGCGTTGCATCATACGAACGTATTCGGCATGCCCCTGTTGCGCCAAGTCCAGAAAGTGCTCAATAAAGTACATAATGTTTGCGCGTGTATTCATGTTATTCTGTGGCATGTTAGTCAGGCAATCATGTTCGCACGAAGTTTCTTCAGATAAAACGCTTACTCTTTCAACCTGTTCGAGGATGCACGAGTGCAAGTCCTCATCCATGTCTTTGTATTTCAAGGCATACTGGGCAGCTTTTTGAGCAGAAACTACAGAGGCGTTCAAGTGCTGCAACTGCAAGCTGAATCGCATGCGGACCTCGAATGGGTCCGCCATTATGTGCTGTAATACAAGTCTGAAATAGGTCGCCGTACGAGGCAAGCGTGTTGGCATGCAGCGTCTTTAGCAAAGAACTTGTTGAGACGAGTTGATGAAGTCGAATGCTGGCCTGCGGCCCTGCGCTCATCTCAGCAGCAGGTGGATCTCGGTGAGCATAGCGGTTTGCTCGGTGAGAGGCCCTTGCCTAACCTGGCCGCGGTAAAGCCACGGCACAGAGACGCCAGCCGGCACCGGAGCCGACAGCGTAGGAAATCCCTCGCAGGCTGTTAAAGCACCGGAAAATCTCGCCGGTCAATCCCCACTGTCTTCAGCAGTTTGATAGCACGGGTTCGCTCTTCACTCTCACAACACCCCGGTCCTTTTTCATTTGATCTCTTTGGCAAATACAGAGAGGACACACGAGCCTTTTTCTTCTTTGGAAGACTTTTGCTTCGTTGAATACCGCATTCTTTTTAAATAGTCGATTTGTCTATCTAACCTAAAACCACCGCTTTCCACTTAAACATAGGTTTGCAGCCTGACGTCACCCAACAAGACAAAATGAGCCCTCAATATGGCGATTTCACCATGACGGTGTTGGGATGTGGTCAGTACTTTTTTTGCTGCCAATTTCCATAGCAAGTCATCTCATACAAATAATAGGCACCATGGGAATTGCCATTCTCAACGGCATCCTTACATCCCTGGCCGAAATTAATGGTCCTCGACCCCTCCAATCCCCATCATCAAACGCTTCCACCCCTGGGGAAGAGCGGCCACAGTCTCTCCCATCTCGCTTCATTGCTTGCGTTCGCAGCGCCGAGAGTGCTAAGAGAGTCAAGGCTGCTTTGTGGGAGCACTCATCCATCGTCAAGGTTGTTCAGAACGATAACATAGCTGCCGTCCAACAGGCGCAGGTTGTCCTTCTGGGCTGCAAGCCATACATGGTGAACAATGTTTTGGGTGAGCCCGGCATGGCGGATGCTTTGAAGGGCAAACTTCTCATCAGCGTTTGTGCTGGCATCACCGCCGACCACATGGAGATTGCTCTGCACGGATCGGTACCAACAACCAATCCGGAGGACGACGGTCGATGCAGAGTCGTTCGTGCCATGTGCAATACTGCTGCTCTTATCCGGGAGTCCATGACCGTCATCGGCATCTCCGATCCTCCGCTGCCTCCCGACATGAAGACTCTTGTCACTTGGATCTTCAAGCGTATTGGTGATGTTGTCTACCTCCCCGCCAACAACATGGATGCTTCCACAGCTCTCTGCGGATCATCTCCCGCCATGTTTGCTCTGATGCTCGAGGCTGCCATTGATGGTGCCGTGGCTATGGGTCTTCCCCGTGCAGAGGCTCAGAGAATGGCTACTCAATCCATGCGAGGAACTACCGGGCTGGTCCAGAGCGGTGAGCACCCGGCCCTTCTCAGGGAGAAGGTGTGTACCCCTGGTGGATGCACAATCGGTGGTCTCTTGGTGTTGGAGGAGGGCCGAGCCCGAGGAACGATTTCTAGAGCTATCCGTGAAGCTACGGTGGTTGCCAGCCAGCTTGGAAAGGGTGTTCAGGGAGTTAACGGAACCAGGTTCAACACGACTGGTTAATAAAAGAAAAGTGCAGATTCCACGACGCAAATTCTAAATTTCGTGCCATTCTTGGTTGATCGCATAGACCAATTTGTTCCTAAATATACCAACGCCGCAGAAGAATTGTATAGGAAGCCCATTTCCATTTGTGATTGACTTTACAATGATCTATAGCCCCCCACACCCGTCTCACACTGAACCCTAACGCCAAGTAAGTCTCCATATACACGAAGCTGCGCCCATTTCAAGCGTCTTCTACTCTTGCCTTTTTGCTTGCGGTCTTCTCTCCAGCATCATCGTCTAATTTCCGCTTTCCGTTCGATTGACTGGGGCCAAGACCATGGCCAGCAGCTCGTTCATAGGCCGCCAGAATGCGGGCGTACTCTAGTTCAACACCAGTCAAAGTCTCCTGGAGCTTGTCGATGCGTTCAGCTTGTTCGATTTGGGACAGAGCCTCTCTGTTGTGCCTGTACAATCTCTGCTTCACAATCAGTTGCCACAGCCTTTCCAAGTGCTTATCCGCCTGTGTGGGGGCTGGACGGTCGTCATCCAGCGCCATGGAGGGTCGCACAGATGAAGGAAGCTGAGACATCAGGTACATTTCCAGTACTCTGTGAAATTGTCGTGGAGCAATCTTTGCATTCAAGCGGATTTCCTCAAGCTTGTCTCCTCCAACAACCAGATTGGGCACAGGACCCTTCTTGGGAATCGTGACTGACGAATCCAGTTTCAATTCAACGAAATCCGGGATTGTCTTGAGAAAGGTGAGGTCACAAACGTCTCGCAGATCATCAAATGCTTCATTCGGGTTCTCAACCGTGAACTCGTGCGTTTGGTCATGTTTGTGGTAGTGTTGGAATATTGATTTGTACAGCTTGGCTCCATTGCCTTTGCCCTGGAATGGTGGCAAAATAATGAATTGAGAGAGCCTAGTTCTGCATGGAAGGTTTGACAAGTCAAAGCTTCCATCTGGCAATTCCCACTTGTCTCCGGATTCTGGTGGCGGAGTAGGAGGTCGGCCAAAGTAGAAAAATCGATACACAGTCGAGTATCCAACAAAGACGTATGACTTCTTATCCGGTTCATCATCTGACTTTTGTGTACGGTAGAGGAAGAAGACTGTCCAACGGTTTGCATCGGACAGGTCGATGTCAGACGAGTCCGACTCGGGGTTCTGGCCGATGTACGAACCACCTTCGATGAGCATAGGCACCAGAATCTGAATCCGCGAGTTCAGCTGCTTGATAGCCGGGTCTTCCAGGCTGCCTTTCCAAATTTCATACTGGCCGTCGGGTCCGTCGATGGTCTCTTGTAGGGTGCCAGGAGGCGTCCAATTGTCGCCAAGCTGCTGAGAGCTACTCTCGAAATCGGAGCTCTTGACGAAAGCGACTAGGAACATCAGTAGGTAGTTTGATGTCAGTTTGGCAGCTATATTTACCTTTGGGCAAGTGATTTCCTGTTTGAAGCACAGCGTTGATATCGGTGGGTTCTTCAACGCCGGCTGATGGGCTTAGTTTTTTGCTGTAGGTCGTTTCCAAATGTGGCCGCATATCATTAGCTCGGAATCGCAAGCTAATCTTCAGGTCCTTGTACCCAAATATCTTCTCCTCGTCGCCAAAAATGGGATACGTAAAGCTGGGATGAAAGGAGCCGACCAGCCGGAGTCCAGACTTGGACGGAGAAACCAGGCTCACATTGAGCGCATCGTTGGAGTCGACAAGCCCTACAAGTTGTCAGCTGTGTCGAAACGAAACTGATAAAGACGGCTTACAGTCGGTAAGATCGGGCAAAGCGGCCATGACTGACGTATGCGACAAAGGCTGTGGGTTACAGTTGTCAATGGGTGGTGCGTAATGTTGCGTCGAGCCTAAAAAAAAAATGGTGATAAATTGGAGTTTGCAAAGCATGTCAGACGCGATGGCTCCAGCTGGAAACGCGACCGAGCGCGAATCAATTAAGCTGGTACTCCGTACTCCGTTTGCACAACGTTCTGCACCAGATGCATACCTCCCTAGCCGCCCCACATTTGAGGCACCAACTTGTCCCAGTACGGAGTACCTTTCAGCGGTCGTTTTGGACCATCATTGCGTCATGGGACCTGCAGGCCAAGGGGGCAACGCCAGCTAACGTTCGAGAGGCAGCAGCCATTTGGAGCTCGCGGTTTCTCCGGCTTCGTCTTTCAACCAGACTGCTTCAACTAACCCACCTTCATTTTTCGCATCGCCTGCATGGACTCACTTACGGGCTGCTCGCTATGGCTCACATCACTAGCAGTGCTGCGCCCGTCGGTTCCATCATATTTTCGATTTTCGCACTGCTCGTAATTTCGATCATCGTGCTGTTGATTTTGCGATACTACCTGCCGCTGCGAACTACACCTGGATTTTATCTCGTCCCCATCTTCTTCGCATTGTGGCTGCCGTCAATAGTCGTGCTCCTCGTTCCCATAGACTTGGCGTCCAGTGCAGCCACCGACGACGAGACTACAAGGGGAATATGGCTCCCTGAACGAGTGGTCCTGGTGTCGTGGCGGATAACGTATTGGCTGACCTTTGTTTTGACTTGGTATGGTGCTCTCCAAGGACCATTTCTTGCTATGACGATAGACTTACAGATTATAGGGCCATTTTGCCCATCCTTGGTGAATACTCGGATGCCGGCTACCACGAGCCGAGCGATAAGCTGAAATACTCTCTCCGACAAAATGCGCAGTTCTATGCCATCGTCCTCGGTGCCAGTGCCATTGGTTTGGTATACGTCTTTATTGCGTATCAGCCCTCTATTCTATCGCTGAAGGGTCTTGTGATGACTCTTGCATACTGCTGGGGTCTTGTGCTCGCCATCTATCTCATGGGTCACGGACTTGTTGCCATTCCCAGACGACTCATTCGAAATGCAAGCATAAGCGGCCGATTAAAACGACTGCAGTCACGAGCTCCAAAGGTGCACGAACATATGGAAGACACACTGGTCATCCTAGAGGAAGTTGAAGCTCAAGTCGCAGAGCTCTGTCGCCGAAAGACTGGTAGTGCTTTAAGCTTTCAAGAATGGATTGAGGAACTTCAAGACATGGGAAACATCCTGCCGTCTCAGGTGCCGTCTGGCTCTGGCATATTTGCGACTAACGGCCGATCGGTTCCGCCGGTCATCACAGAAAAGTATTTGGCCGAGTTGACTCGAAGTTTTGTTCGGGCCAGACATGCCAGATCTCGATATGTCGACGAATGGAGCCGCTTGGTACACGAAGCAGGGGAATTGCAGGCAATTTTAAATTCCGCCGCTTCAAAGAAACTGGACTTCGGAGAGCCGTCATCACACACGGAAGTTTGGGGAAGGACCAAAATTCTGAGTCCATATACTCGGTACATTTTCTACTACCACGTCATCCCCTATGCCCAGGTAGCGTTTGGTCTGTTCTTAGCTCTCGCCTCTGCTTGCGTCGTTTGGTCGGAATTAGTCCGATATACATTCCCGCGCTTGTCTGTTATTCGCCTCAGCGTTGTACATCACTGGGTGGGAGATAAGCCTGAAGTTGGATTTGCTGGGCAAGTCGTTTCTGCCTTCTGGATTTGCTACATGTGTGCAGCAGCACTTCTCTCCATGACGGAAGTCAAAGTCTGGCGTGGCCGGGCCCTTGTGAAGCGAAACACGTCTTACGAATCAGCGTTCTGGTACTCCATGCAGGTCGCCAAGCTTACCATCCCCTTGTCATACAACTTCGTGACATTCCTGTCTAAGGAGGTGTATGAGAAGACAATATTCTTCAAGTTTCTTGGGCAACTGCTCGAAAAAACTGCGCCTGGTCGATGGTTTGATGACCTCTTCCCAATTGTTGTTTTGTTCCCAGTGGTAGCAACATTGTTCGGATTGTACGGGAAGGTCAAGCGTGTGTTTGTTGGTATCGACGTTATTGACGAGGGCGATGAAAACGGGCCGACATATGGGTCTGGATCTTGGCGAGAAGGCCGTGGTCTCATTGAACGAGAGCTTGGGGGCACAGCGACCTACCGTCGACGGGGAGACACCGCTTCAAGGGTTGCATTAGGTGAAGCAGGAAGCAGAGCTGTTCCCATTCTCTCCATTCCCGCAGTCAGAGATCCTGCTCCGTTGCCGAGTCAAACACCCGTGCCCTCGGCCAACAGTGGCCGACCAGGACAAATTCCACGGGCTCCCGTTTACGATGATGCCATGGAAGACGACAATATGTTGGTAATTATAGGCAACCGTATGAAAAACACCATCGAGGGCATAGAGGCACCCAAATGGTTCCAGCAAATCAAGAAGCCGAAGTGGATGGGCGGAAACAACGAGAATGCCGGCAATTCTCAGAACAACTCTGACATACGAAGATGGTTTGGGGGAGAGGGACACATCCGGTTGTAAATGCAGGTAGAGGTTCTTCTCAACATGGTTACGGCGCAGCGGCTTGCTTTGGGATATATATGTTGTCACGACGGGCGCTATAGTTGCATGGTCTGGCGTTTTTGATTTAGCTAGCCTGGAACATTGTTTAGCCGAAGCACAGTAATATTCGAGCCAGCTTAAATGTGGCTTCTGTAGTCTTTATTCTGTATTCTGTATCCAATCTAGTGATGGCTGCCCGTGCGTACATGTGTTCGTAAGTCGTGAGTCATAAGGCGTGGCCTATATACAGACAAGTCATGGTTCTTCTTTCCACCTGATCTTAGAGCAAAAACAAATCACTCTTCGCAGTGACACCACCAGATAACAGCCGCAAGATGTCGTCTTATCCTACCTCATCGACACCTGCGCCGAAACCAGGAGATCACGGCCGAGGCGGCGAACTAAGCGAATTCCACGTATGCGTCTTGCTCATGGTCCTCTTCCTCAAATGAAACATGATTTCCTTCTCCATCTTGTCGATGTTCTGCTCTAGGTCCTCATCGTCCCTGGCATACTGTGCCTCGCGACGGCGATCGAACCACACCCATATCGCTACGATGGCGGCAGTGATGGGGATCGTAACGGCAAAGTAGATCCACAGATCCATGGACACGGGGTGGGCGGCTGGCCGCAACAGCGGCATTAGCAGTCTGCAGCTTTGGAGACGCTCGATAGGAAGGGGAAACGTACATTCTTGGAAATTGAAAAACGTCATGCTGAAGACGGACGCGAGATACGTGCCGGGCAGAAAGAGCGTCCCCATGAGCGAGATGGTCTTCATGGCGGTGCTGTCGCGTTTGCTGGCGTGGGCGATGCGGCGCTGCTCTCCGGCGATTTCGAGATTCAGTCTCGCTTCGCGCTGCGACATGATGTTGTACAACTAGGGCCCCTCGGTCAGTGTGCCTGGGATCGAGAGCCTTGGGCTGGGGGGCCCGGTGCCGGTGGACGCGCGTGTGTAGCTTACCGCTTCCCGCTGCACCTTCAGCCTCTCCAGCGTGGTGTGGATGTAATTCTCCAGGCCCTTGAGCTTGACCTTGTAGAACTCTAGTCTCGCTGTCATGCTGCGGTGCAGCTTGTCCACCTCCTTGAAATGCCGCCTCTCGGCATCCCCCGCGCTCGCTGTTTCGCCGTTGACAAGTCTCAGCTTTTCCTCGCGTACAGTCGTCATCTTGTCGCGGTACCGGCCCATGGCCTTCTCCATCTCTTCTGCCACGGCCCAGTACGCTTGCGGTCGCTTCCACATGACGTGGCCGTGGCATTCGACGAGGTCGCGATTCAGGCCGTCTACCTCCAGCAGGCCGTCCTGGAAATACTGCTCGTGCTCCTCGACCTCGTTGCGCAGCGAGACGGCGTTCTCCAGACGGCGCAGCCAGTCTCTTGCGTCGCGCTGTTTCTGGTCATTTGCCGTGGACAGGTCGTACGAGAGGATAATGATGGGAAGCAGCATCGGGTGGCCGATCTGTGCGGAACATGCGCGGAGGTGCTGCAGCGCAAAGACGACGTCTGATGACGGCGTGCCTTTGAGGTAGCCTGTGGTGATGTTTGTCTTGAACGAGTGCGAGAGCATCATTTCCCAGCCGCGGGTTCTACCTTTTTTGCGGACGTCGGATTTGCGGTGGATGATTTCTAATCACAATGCTTGTTTTAGTTGTCGGGTCGTTCTTCTTGTGAGCCATTGGGACGTGGGTGGTTGGTTAGGAGCACCCAAGCGAACAAAGTAAAAATTAAAAAAACGCACGCAAGTGAGGATCATCATCATCCTGGTCAAAGGAACTCCAAAAGAACGGCCCAACCACAGACGTCGTCTCAATCCCTCTAAAAGGCAGCTTCAGGGCGCGGACCATGTCTTCGTACGAGTCCTTTGGAAGCGAAATCACCTTCGGCGTGAAGGTATCCTTGTCTTTGGCGTTCTTCTGCACACTAGGAGCTGTCAGTCGACGAAGGGAAAAAAAAAAAAATACCCGATATTTCAATCGATGCCATCACAAAGTCAAGAGGCGGCAACAATACTCACATCAACCGGATCCCGCTCAACAACCTCGTCCCATGGCGCATCTTGTCCGGCGGCGCAAACGCACCCTGTTTCGTTCAGTCCAGCTCGATTCCGTCAAAGACGGCGCACTCACCCGCCTATACAAGAAATTGTCGAATTCATCTTCCGTAAGAGCATGTTCCTCGCACGAATTGTAAAACGGATCCTGCACACCAGACAGTCAGACCATCCACATCCACTCCCGGCTTCAGTCCAATGGCCATTGCTTCAAGGCAAACTCACCGAGTAATTCAATATTTCCAGATAACTCGTCGCCTCCTCGACAGTTCTGCACTCGTCGACATAATACCGAAACATGTAGTCGTCCATCCTTGATCTCTTGGCGTGTCTGCAACCCCCCGC